GTATTGATATACTACAGAAAAAGTACTTTGAATCATAATTTTGTTTATAAGTACTTGTAAATATTTGAAAAACCCATGGCTGAAAGAACTATTTAACTCTAGAACCCGAGGTTATAGCCTATTGGTCATTGAAGTGGGAGAAGAACCATGAGATATCAGTTTCAAATCTCAGCCGAGGCAAAAAATGGTGATTTTTCTCATCTGCCTAAGCTTGGTAAGTAGAGTTACTCGGCACTTGTATTGGCGGGAGGTAGCTGGTACCCAATAGAATAGTTAAGGTGCACGCAAACTGGCCCAGACACCAAGGTCGTCAAAAAGAAAGAAAGAAAAGTAATTGTCTCATCTAGATTGAGACAAAAGGAATCATATATGCTTGCTAGATATAAGTTCTGAGGAAGCATGTATGTCTCTAAGTTATTTTAAATTGGCCACTGTTGATAATTCCAGAAAAGACATGAAAAAATGCAAAGCTATTCATTGTCGATTTGGGATTTATGTGTAGTTATCTCGGCAAAAGGATCATAATTGAACTCCACTAACCCTCAGGGGTTGGCGTGGTGGCAATTGACTTGAGCTTTTTGCTCCCTTTCAAGGTCTCAAGTTCGAAACCCACTGGGTGCAAACAATTTCTGAGGGCCATCGGACTGGGTAAAAACCTGAATTAACCATGGTGCACTTGCGGGAAACTCCTTGCCGAGGGCCTGTGCGCCCCTGGGATTAGTCGGGGCTCGAAGAGACTCGGACACCCGGTGCAAATCAAAAAAAAAAATTGAACTCCACCAGTTTTATTTTTCTCACAGATCATACTTTTGGGATAGTATCAAGAGTTAAGATGGGGTTATATTGTCACATGCGTGATATTTCTAAAGTCTGAGCAGCAATCAGGGCTGTTGAGCTTGATAAATCTTTTTCTTTTTCTTGTCTAACTGGGGTGTTGTAATAGAGGTGTTCCTTGTGCATTGTGCTTCTTGGATACTTCCTAATTGAAATTTATCAACATGCTTTTACTTGTTTAACTAAACCTTTTTTTTGTCATAAAGAGAAAATTTTGGTTATTCCTTGTTTTATTTTGCAGAATGACATTCGCAAGAATCCTGCATTCAGGGCGCAGTTCCACGAGATGTGTGCTAAAGTTGGAGTAGATCCGCTAGCATCAAACAAGGGTTTCTGGGCAGAATTGTTAGGGATTGGCGATTTCTATTATGAACTTGGTTGGTATCAACCTCCTTAGTAATTCGGGTTATTGCAAGACGTGCTTGTTAACTTCTTAATGGTGCATGAGAGGAACATTACGTAGTATTCGACACTGCATTGTTAGATCTAAACGGCGCTTTTACTTCCTTTTGTACCTTTTCAATTAAAAAAAGAACGTGACAGTTCTACTTCCCCTTGCTATATGATTGGTTGACGTTGAGTTTTGTCCCACATCAGAGGGATTTTAGGTCCTTGGTCTTCTTATATGGTCTTGGCCAATCCTCACCTCATAAGCTAGCTTTTGAGGTTGAGTTAGGCCCAAGGTCCATTTATCATGGTATCAGAGCCAGGCCCATCCCAATTATTATTACCGATTACCGATGTTGGATCCCCATTTATGTTGTCCACGCTCCAGTTTGCATGCCTGGGCGTGAGGGGGGTGTTGAGTTGTCTCTCATCGAAGGGATTTGAGGTCCTTGGTCTCCTTATATGGTCTTCGGCAATCCTCTAGCTTATGAGGTTGAGTTAGGCCCAAGGTCCATTTATCAACATCAAACCTTGAACAGTAAATATATATTAGATAGCTTGCAGCATCGCGCTTAGTTCTTGGCTGTTTCCTAGTTAAGTATTATCATTTGTCGATAATATAATACGAACTGGATTTAAATGAAACCCACCTGTCTAGGCAGGGGTGCAGATCATTGAAGTATGCTTGGCTACTAGACCCCACAACGGAGGTTTGATAAGCTTGGATGATCTTTGTAAACTGCTTGGTCAGAGACGGAAAGCTGTTCGTGAGACAATATCTGAGGATGACTGCTTGCGTGCTATTAGCAAGCTGAAGGTACTGGCTCAAGTTTTTATGTTTCAGTTGGCAGTAACTGAATGATACATTGAGCAGCTGGCGCTAAATCTGGCGGATCATCCTTTTCCATTTAATTTGAAGAGCATATTTCACATGTTAGTGCTTTGCACGTTTAGTTATGAGGATCATGTTTCGCCATTGGATACCAAGATATTGATTTTGCTAGTTGTCCATTTACCAAAATGAATAGAAAAAAGAATCTTTACTATAATCCACACGCATGTCAAAAAAAAATGGTAAACTGCAAAAACTTATTCTTTCTGTTTCTTAAGTTCTTATAGGTCCTTAGCACATGAAGCACCCAAGTTAATGGTGAATGTATATGGGCAGGTCATTATTGCTCTTGCAACCCCTCATTTAGATGGAAGATAGGAGAAATGCAAAGCTGTCTGAAACATGCTTTAAAGTTCATCATTTATCTTGAGCGTGTAGTGACTAATTTTTTTGGGCTGGTGTATGTTTTATTACTGTTGCAACAAACTATAAACTAACATTTAATTGCATCTTTCAGGTATTAGGTAGTGGTTATGAGGTGATTACAGTGGGAAAGAGAAAGCTTGTTAGATCTGTCCCTACTGAACTGAATAAGGATCACAATGAAATTTTAGAGCTGGCCCAGGTATTACCTTTGTACTTTATGTTTACTCCAGGTTCATGCAGTTAGGTAGTTTCTCTCTTTGGATAAATTTTGTAGTTCAGTAATTGCCGTGCAGCTCAAACTGTCACTTTCACTTGATGCAGTAGTTTCCCCACTTGTAGTAGAATTTCAGAAGTTTAGTTTCTTCAATCAGTCATCGATATTTTGGCAACTTAAAGGAAATCTCTCTTTCCTTTTGAATCCATGAGTATTAAAAGCTACTATTTAGCTTAGGGAGTTATCCCCAGATTGCTATGTTTGACTTTGAAATATTGCCTACTATGTTATACGGGCTTGTTTTATCATTATATGTTAAAAGAGGAAATTCTTACTCAAGAAAAATATGTTAACAGAGGAAATTGTTTTCTGGTCTCTTTACCACAGGCTCAAGGCTTTGTGACAGTTGATGAGGTACAAAGACGCCTAAACTGGTCTTCAGGTCGTGCAACTGATGCACTTGAAACACTTTTAGAGGTAAGTTCTTGATGTCATTTCTTCTACTTCTTTCCTCCTAAGTTTTCCAGCAAGGCTCTAAATATTTCCTATTAGATCTCTTGTGATTGAAGCTAACAAATGGCTCACATGTATCATACAGGAAGGACTTGCCATGATTGATGATGGTCACAGAGATGGCAGACGTAGATACTGGTTCCCCTGTGTGTCCTCTGTCTCCTCCTATGTAGGAACAGACGCTCTTTAGCGTTTTCCTCGATCAGATCTGAGGATCTTTCGTTTTTGAACCACTGATCCTTAAGGGTTTCATAACCAGAGCTTGGACGATAGATTGCTCGTAGAGATGCAGTCTTTTTCCATTTCCCTTGGTCTAACGCTTTTGATATGCAGCTTTTGTATATCTTAGAATGTTGCCCTATTTATGTAATCCGTACAGTGAAATCATAGTGTTGAATCATTGATTGTTTTATGAAGCTTGTTTCATATATATATATATGAAATGACTTTGCCTGTTTTGTGAGCTTTTTCCAAATTTGAACTTCATAGGATATCATTATAGTGTACAATGCAGGGAAGGTATGTGACTTTGCTTGTAGTTATTCCTGTTGAATTATTTGTTGGTGCGTCATTTTTCTTAAACAAATTGGCGTTATAAAGGTGAAATTCGAAAATAGCCAGATTTACAACTTGTAATTAAAAAGTAGTCACAGTTTCAAAAGTAATCGAAATTTAGCATAATATGTTGGAGTTCCAACATAATATATGAACTCCCAACATAATATGCTGAATTTTATAATATGTTGGAGTTCTATTTTAATAAGTTGAAAGTTTATATGTAGGAGTTACATAATCTAGCATATTATGTTGGAACTTTCCGTGTGCTGGAGTTCCAACATAATATGCTGAAAGTTTATACGCAGGATTTCCATAATCCAACATATTATACTGGAACTTTTCGTGTTTCAACAAAACAATGGCATTTTTCAATTACCAGTCCAAAAACTAGCTAGTCCGTGCTATTTTGACCGTTATGAGAGTTATGGAGGATTATATAAGTAGCTTCATTCAGTTGTGCAATTGTTAAGTCATAGTGTCATACTGTTTGAAACATAGTTACAGAGGCCAGGTATCTTGCTCCTTATGTCACCCCTTTAAGTAATACTGGTGTGGATTTACTTACATAAGGTTTGCATAATACTTAGCTAAAACCCATCAACTGTGATTGCACAAAAGGACTTCAAATGTAGATCAATCAATCCATTACCTCTCAATTCTAGACTAGTTAACATCGACTATATGAATTCTAGACTAGTTAATGTCGACTATATGAATCCTGTGTATATCCGAGCTTATCTAACCAGCCACTAGTTCAATATGAATCCTCTGTGTATATCCGAGCTTTTTTATATCAGGGATGCACATATGTTCTGCCTTATGGTGTATCTAACAACAACAACAGACCCAGTTGATTCCGACAAATGGGGTCTAGGGAGGATAGTGTGCACACATGCCTTACTTCTACCTTGTGTAGATAGAGAGAGAGTCTGTTTCCGATATTATGGTGTATCTATTTTTTTTTTAATTTCCATTTGTAGGAGGTATTGCTCCTTTGGTGACTCGAACCCACAACCCTTGGATTGTAGGTGGGTGGGTGGGGGGTTGCTGACCATCGGAGCAGCCCCCCTCTTGTCATCGTGTATCTATCAATTTTATCTTTTTCTTTCCAAGTGGTTTTTGCAGAATCATTAATAGGATCAGCCAATTCACTTGCTTCTGCCCAAGCTTTAATTCAAGACCAGGAAGTTGTTTAATGCTAAGTTCCATTGGCCTAAAGATGCCAGTTGTTGGTTATAACTGATTTAACAGCCAGAAATTACACCACAGCTGCAAATTCAAATGCTGAATCAATACACAATGCTATGAAGAGTAAGAGAGACTTAAATTCTACTCATTGAGACAATGCTGTTCAGTTCAAAAATAAAAATAAAATAAAAATAAAATAACATAAAAAGTGTCAGGTGGCCGTATACAGTAATACGCGATAAGAATCCAGCTCTTCCCATGTACAGTACACAGTATGGAACTGGAACTCCACATTATGGACAAATGCCATTACTCGGCTTTAGACGGGAAATGGTTTCCACCAGTGGCGATCTTATACAGGTAAAATCCAGTCATTACCAAACTGCAAAAGACGATCAAAATAAATGTACTGTCAACCTCATTATTAGATAAAAAGCTTCTATGATCATATTAGCAACATAGATTTTCAGACAAGAAATCTTTTAACAGATTCTCCTCTGTGAGCAATCAGCACAACCAATGAATCATCAATGAAATAGGAAACCAAGCATGAAAAATTTGTTGTATCTTCCAACTTATATAATCCATAATCAATTTTTTCGCGATCAACTTTAAGGTTTTGTTGAGAGATCATGCAAGCGAGCTTGCAAAACCACCCCTTCCCCGATTTGCTTGTATTTCATATTGATGATGGCGGTAGTCCTCCCTAGATACTGATCTATTATCTCACTTATTCACCTAAAAACGAAAAAAAGGACACATTGCAAACCCCAGAAGGAAATGGTGATGGTTCAAGCTACTATAAATCTGTAGTAACGGGAACATGCATTCTGACATGTACATTTTGCACTTACATGAAGTGTTCAATAAGTCACACCCTTAATTGAGGTGTCTAAATGTAAATTTTTGGCAAGTCCGAGGAGTTGTCTATGTATTCGGCCGCTAGAGAATATGTGATTCGTACATATTCTGCATGATTACCTGAAGCAAACTTCAGCACTGATGTCTGCTTGGTCTTTCTTATATTCTAGCAAGAGTCTTAAAACACTTGTAGGAGAAATAGAGTTAAATAAGCTACTTAATCAGCCTACAAATAAAATTGTTTTACGGTCCATAGGATATGAAAAGAACCGGTGAACTTATGAAATTGTTCAGTGTTCCTCATGTAGACACAAATACTTAGAGATGGGAAAGTTTCTGTCTGACTATGCGCCATATACGAAATCAGAGAAATCTTTTTACATTTAGACGTAACTTGTGAGCTTGCATTGAAAAGGTTAAGGACAAAAGTTAATTTACTACTTGGACAGTTCAACTACCAATTGAATCTTTAGATGCGTGTCTACGTAAAATGAAGAAATACAAAATGAGAGGTAACGTTTGACGCCTCTAGGAAAGTTGACATCACTGCACATAGCAACCTAATATTCTGTTTGCGCTCACGACAGAGCAACTTCACATATTATATATATCAAATGAATCGTCCCCCCCAAATCTAATATGTTTATTAATGAAACAGAACAGATAAATGAAATGCAGAAACCACAAAGTAGATAACAAAACTTGTAAGGCATACTTTCTATATGAAGTTACCTGATACCAGCAACAACGCCAGCTGGCATTATCTTTGAAGTCTGCATGTACCGCTGTCCCATGACCCATGTTAACACGGCAGCACAAGCTGTTTCAAGCCAAGTAAAGTGAGTGGAGATAACTTGACCAGCCAAAAAAAGAAAAAACGGAAGTTCAATGTGATTGCAAGAAAATGAATGAAGCTTTCGATTTTATCTTTCTGAATCAGAATATGACCTTGAGGACTTCAAACAAACAAAAACTTAACACATTTATTGCAGTTGAGTGAAAATACGCTTATTGCGGCTTTGAAACTCTAGGCAACATGCTGAATAAAATTGAACAAAAAAGTAGGGAGATGAAGAGGAGTGCTTAAGACATACGCCGTGCAAGGTTAGCATACACATATGCAGTAAAGAATGTGACATTAGGATGGAAGCTAATGAATCATTATAGAAGGAGTTGCTAAAGCAATTGACGCATTTTTTCTCCTTTAGACACCTTCTTTATGCATCCTTTATAGCAGTATTAAGAGTTAATGACAAATTGGTAAGAGGAAAAAGTTGCCTTTTATCTCCCTATGGTTATTGTGTTTTGCACGTTTATCCTCTGGCACGTTGCAGCCACTTTCTCTAAGAGGGGGTAAAGCACAAAATGCATTATATGATTTTTCCACTTTAACAACGGCTGCAGCATGATCAGCATCGACATTACCCAAACGTGTCATTTCGACGAAGAAAAAATACGAGATAAGGGCAAATGGAGAGATGCACAATCATTTCCTTTCTACTTGGTCTAACTAGATCAGAACTGGAACTGAAAAATCGTAGCACGATTCAAAGAAGATCTATAGGAGAGAAGAGGTGAGAAGTTCCCCATCTCTCTTAGGCCTTTTGTCTCTTGAAAAACTTGTATTCTTATGTTTGAGATCGCCTCTGTGCTTAAACGAAATTTACCCATCAGTTTCTCATATATTTAGTCTCATTGTTCACTTCCCCTAGCCTAACAATCAAGAATTCCTCATTTTGTAGGAAGGACCAATTTAAATGCTATCAAACAAAAAAACAGAAAATGGAAATGTAGAACACAAGAGCTACTAGGACAAGTAACTAAACAACTAAACCATCCTATAAAAATATCAGAAGAGAAATAAACACAATCCAATACCTTTGTCTATCCTCTGCTGCAAACCATACAGCTCACATAAACTTTATAAAGAGACAAACAATCAAGGTGAAAAGCTTTCTCCCCCTTAGAATCTTAAGTAGAGCAGCAAATATCAGACCATATACAGTACATAGTCAGATAGAAATCAGGACTTACTACTGTATCAACAGAGGCATATTCGAGATTTGAACTTTAAAAAGGGCAACCCGGTGTACTAAGCTCCTGCTATGCACGGGGTCTGGAAAGGGACGGACCACAAGGGTCTTTCCGCATTTCAGCAAGATTTGAACTTTATGGGTTCGAAATTCTAGGATAGCGACCTCAGTGCTAATAATTAGGTTCAAAATTTAATATTTGTACATATTTAGTGGATTTCTAAACACATACAACGTCTAGGCCAATCCGAACCTGTAGCTTTCATTGTGGATTAGCCCGTGTATCAGCTTATAATAGAATGAAAACCATAGGCAGATCGGCTCGGATGGATCCACATCCTTCAATTCCAGTAATATTTATATATAATAACAACAACTATGCCTCAATCCTAAACTATGAATCCTCGATATCATGAATGCTCTATTTAGGTCCAGAGGCGGATGCAGTGTGGAAGTTAACGCGGAGTAAAAATTTATGTGTAAAAATTTATTAAAATTGCAAAAATAATAGATTTGAACCCATAATTTTAAAAATATAATGGGTTCAATGTTAAAAATCTTAAAAGTTGAAGAGTTCAAATCCTGGATCCGCCTCTGTTTAGGTCCAAGTGATATTTACATGATTGAAAATTTTCATATCATAAAGTAGTAGTATATTTTTATTACATTTGCAGTCATATTACAAAAGAGTTATGGGTAAAATACTACAACAACAACTACTACGCAATTCCAAACAAGTTGGGGTCAGCTATATGAATCCATACTTATCGGTTAAGGAAATGAAAAGCTATACCAGTTTCAAGAATCAAGGCAAAGTAAGAATTTTTGCGCTTGTGAAATGCTTGAAGACTCAAGTAACCAGCTAAAATGAGCAAAAATCCAGTACCCAAACCTCCAGCCAGTGAAACTGTGCTTCCTTTCTTGAAATATCCTATAATTCCACCACATACAAGAATTAAACCATATGGGATTGTGAAGCAAAAATCATGCATTTTTATCAAATGGGGTTTTAGGAAAGATTGATATTTCGACGAATTTAGCACAGACTTGAGAGATCAAACAAGAAAAGATTCAATTTTTCAACGATCTTGGTGTCTTAAAACTTGGAAGTTCCATTTTTTGTAGGTGGTCATGGCAATATATTAGAAGAAATGACAGAACTAGTCCCTTATGTTTGGGATTGGTGTAAAATAGTACTTTAAATATGCATCTCAACAGTTTTAGTCCTTTATGTTTATCAAAGATGGCCCCTTTTGATCTCCATTATCTATAAAGCGCAGCATTAATTGGAAGAAATTCAAAAATAGCCAGATTTACAAGTGATAATTGAAAAATAGCTATAATTTCAAAAGTAATAGAAATTTATCCACTTTTCATGAAAAGATAAATCTGAACGAAAATACTGTTCAAAATTCGAAAAATACTCCAGCATAATATACTGGAATTCCAATATAATATACTGGAACTCCAGTATATTATACTAGAGTTCCAATGTACTTATGTTGGAACTCCAGTATAATATACTGGAGCTCCAATATAATATACTGGAGCTCCATTATAATATGTTGGAAGTTTATACATAGGTGCTCTAATCTCCGGTATATTATGCTGTAACTTTCCGTGTGTTAGAGTTCCAGCATAATATGCTGGAAGTCCATACACACGTGCACCAATCTCCAGTAGGGCTGTTCATTTGGATTAGATATACGAAATCCGAACCGATCCGTTCAATTTCAGATTTCAGATATTTGGATCGAATTTCAGATTGTGTTTCTTAAAATTTCGGATATTTGGATCGGATTCGGATTGGTATGATTTTAACCTGATTCGATCCAAAATCCAAAATTATTAGGGCATGTATAAATACTAAACTTTAATTTAGGATAGTCAGCATTTCTTTTACATCTTTCTCCAAGTTATTACCTTTACAATCGTTGGATTTGGCTATATTGGTACCATAGTACTCTCATAATTGCAGAAACATGAATTTTTCTTACTGTATTGCCTCTTTTACAAAGAAAATATACATATGAGTTTGCAACTTTGAGGCATAATAATCCGATTCGAAATACGAAAATTCGATCCGATCCGATATTAATTCGGATCAGATTCAGATTCAGATTGCATTTTGTAGAATCCGAAATCTGAATCCGAAATGTGCTAAAATCCGACCTGATCCGATCCATGCACAGTCCTAATCTCCAGTATATTATGCTGGAACTTTTCGTGGGATACGAACGATTAAGAGTTCTTGCTTAAAAAAAAAAGCCTCCGTCCCAAAAAAAGATGTATATTCCGGACATTTTGTCGTGGGTGCTACTAGAAAAAATTGTTATCCGACCGATGGATTCCCCGGTTGGCTATTTTTCAATTACTAGTCCGAAAACTGGTTAGCCCGTACTATTTTAACCGGCAATTATGTTTGGCAAAATTGGCTCGTAAGAAGTATGTTAGCCATTTAAACTGGAAAAAAAAAGAAAAAGAAAGAAGAACATCCACACAAGCTTCTTCTTATTCATTTCGCGCAGTTTGTACCTAAAAAAATATTTTCCTTTTCTTTCTAAAAAAAGAATCTTAAGATTTAAATTGAAAAAATGAATTCCGAAAAGTTGTCTCAATGGTTTATTTAGTTTAAGCGCTTCATGTGCTTCTCACGACCATATTCAGTTCTGTTAATGATAATAATGTCGTGTGTTTCAACAACAATAGAGATCAAAAGTGCTCAATTTTAGAAAACAGGGACTTATAACTGCTCAAGTATATATTTAAAGGACTATTTTAGATTATCCTTAAATATAAAGGACTAGTTTTATACTCCCTCTATTTCAGTTTATGTGAACTTATTTTTTTTTTTGGTCCGTTCCAAAAAGAAAATCCCTTTCTAAATTTGGTAACAATTTAGCTTTAACTTACAATTATACCCTTAATAAGAAGCTTTTATAACCACACAAATACTCTGACCCCATTTGAATTAGTTTATGATCACAAATTCCAAATATCTTCATTTTTTTCTTAAACTCCGTGTCTAGTCAAATAGATTCACATCAATTGAAACGAAGGGAGTAATTTTCTCTAGCATATTACATTTGATAATCATTTGTCAAAAGTCCAAAGGTTCATGTTACCTAACCTCTATCTTGTCTGTGCCATTGGTCTAAGTTGTCCTTAGGATTCTTGTTAAATCCACATATACAACAACAACAATAATAATTTAGTATAATTTTATTTAGTGGGGTCTGTGGAGGGTAATGTGTATGCAGACCTTACCCCTACCCCGGGGTTGAGATGCTGTTTCCAAATAGACCATCGGTATCATTCCCTCCAACAACTTACCACCTTACTTTTGAGGAGACTACAATCTCTTGATTGAAAGTGGATGTTGCTTAAATGTCACCTATGTAAGTTTAAATTTACAGCTGAAATAACAAGTATGGGAGGGTAAGATCGTCAAGACAACCCAGTAGGTAGCCATTTGACCCAGTGTGCTTGTGGCCTGGTGGGCAGTCCACACGCCATTTTGAACAAATTTTTAGTAGGTTAGGGTATTAGTTTTTGGAAATGTTTTATATATGGTTTTGCTGTTTATTGTACAAAGTCGTTTGGTTTTTGTAATTTATTTCTCTTTTATAAATAGTTGGTTGTGTTGTGAAAATAGTCGGGATAGTCAGTAATCGGACTGATAATTGAAAAATAGCAATTATTTATAAAGTCATTGAAAAATAGCCATTATTCTGCTGAAACACGAAAAGTTTCAGTATAATATGCTGGATTATGAAGCTCCTGCGTATAAACTCATATGTAACAAATTCTAACTCCAGCATAAATATGTTGGAAATTTTTCTGAATTTTTAAGGGTGTTTTTGTATAAAGTTTATCTTTACATAAAAAATAGATAAATTTCGATTATTTTTGAAATTATGGTTACTCTTGATATGTATTGCAGTTTCCGAGAAATTTTATTGTGTGTCTCACACAACTGATATTACTTGTGTGAGACTCCTTTTTCTCTCACAAATTTGTAGACCCCCATTTTACACTTCTGGATTCACTAGCTTTTGGCTTTTTTTTTTAATAATTAATATGAATGTTATCGTGTATTGTCACACCTCCTTTTTCCGCCCCCCCCGCGAGAGGTGAAGAAGTTTTTTCAATTAAAGGACAATCGAAACGGGATTTGTTTATTTATTTCAGAGTCGCCACTTGGGAGATTTAGGGTGTCCCAAGTCACCAATTTAATCCCGAATCGAGGAAAAGAATGACTCTGTATTACAGTCCGCGAACCAGAAATCCGGATAAGGAATTCTGTTAACCCGGGAGAAGGT